TGTTGAGTCGCAGTCCCAGCCACCTATGACAATAAACAGGGGCAGGGGAGGGCAACATGGTCAGGCAGGGGGCTGGGTGAGCAGCCCTTCTTGTCTTTCAGCTTCATTCCTTAGGCGGCAGGAGGCAGGGAGGGCGGGTTATGGCCCAGTTTGGGATTAGAAAGGTCTCTTTTGGCAGCCTTTGTGGGAAGGCCTGGAGGGTGAGGTGGGAGGCCCCCAGGAGGCCAGAGCACAGGCTAAAGGGTGGGAGACGACCCAATAGAAGACTAGAGGAGGCTGGGGGGAGGGGAGGGCAGGGTCAAAGCCAACAAAAGCACATTATGTAAGACTCAACACAAGAGATAGCAGAGTCCCCAGACAGCTTCACCCCCAGAGGCTGACTCAGGCCTGGTCCAGCATCCGGCCTGCCCAGTCCCTTAGCAAAGCCCCTGACAAATAGGTAGCACAGCAGGGAGTGCGTAGCGGGATCGGCACCACCATTTACTCCTGCACCTGCAGCCACTTTTAGACGGGGAGGGGCAAGGAGGTGGGGAGGGTTAAGATCAATTTGCAAACAGATATTATTTGCTTTCCATGACAAATAAACATGATCCCTTTCTCATACCCGGTTATCAGAAGGGTGATAGCCTCAGTAATAAAGTAGGTCTTGGCAGTGGGTATGAAACATTTTGCCGCCTTCCAAAGCCTATGTATGGATTTATCAGTAGGTCTCCTTAAAGCCTCTCACAGCAGCTCCTAGCACAAGATGTATACACGGAGGTTTAAACAGAACAATGCATACAAGCAAGATACCAATAAAAACCCAAGTAGCCGTCACCAGGGCTCTGGACAAGTAACACTGCCCCCAGGCAAAGAAAAGCGCTTTCCGTGGCAGGAAAAGGCCGGCTACAGGAGCGAACACCAGTCTGGAAGAAGTGACCAGACAAATGATTTCTTCTGGAGAGTGAGAAGCCAAGAAAGAAAGATGGACGATGTGGTTTTTACATACTTTCCCCTCCCAAAGTGTCCAGGCACACATTGTGTTGTAAGTTTGACCAACCAACACTGCCTAGAGTTGAGAGGGACTGGAAAGAAAGGGATAGGAGTGGTTACTGATGGGCCCGAGGTTTATTTCAAGCGGGCTGAAATGTTCTCAGATTAGCTATGTTGACGGTTGCACACTTCAGTCAATACACTAAAACTGTTTTCTGTGGGTGGATGCTGCAGGGTGTGGAACTGGGTCTCGGTAAAGCTGCTGGTTTTAAAAAAGAATTAGCCAGGAGGAGGGAGGGGAGGGCAGGTGGGTGGAGCACACGGGAGCATAGGTGCTGGGACATTCTGCCCTCTGTGGGTAATTCTTGCGCCTTACGGAGGGGTGAGCCACAATGGTGGAGCCCTGTGAGGATGTCCTGGAGAAAGGTGATTTTCCCCATCACAGCCAGGGCCAGCCCTCCCACCGGCAGCTTGGGCTCCAGTCTCTACCCCTCACTTGTAGTATCTTGGTTTTGGAGGTTCCAGCCATTTGCATAAAATCCCTCAAAGGCCTCAGGGCTCCTATATTGCATGGAAAGGATGGTCTGGCATAGCTCAGCCACTTGTCTATCTCCTGGTTCCTTCTACACACCCCACTGTCACTGTCACTGTCATTACTCAGCCCTCACCCATCACACCTAACCGAAACAGCAGAAAGGAGCCAGGAAGAAATCAAAGCTTCAGAAAACCCTTGTTTATCCTCAGATCCAGAGAACTGGCCACCCCAGTTCTCCACTGACTCCACAGTCGGGACAAACCCCAGGAGAAAGCGTAGCTGCCACTGCCCCACCCCTTTGAACTCCAATACTAGAGGGATCCCAATTACAGAAACCCAAGAACAATCCAATAATAAGATGTTTGCTGAGCACTTCTGCCCAGGTACTGGGCTGGGTACAGCATTCTCTGCTTTAAGCCACTGGATCCTCTCAGCAGTCCCTAGCTACCACTGATATTCCCATCTCACTGATAAGAAAACTGAGATCCAATCCCCAGGAAAGCATGGGGGTGGAAGGGTCTGATGGTGCAGGCCTGTAAACCCAGCTAGTCAGGAGTTGAGAGACAAAAGGAGCTCAGACTTAAGTCCTGCCTGGGCTACAAACTGAGTTCAAGGCAACCTGGGAGACTTAGTAAAACTGTCCCAAAATAAGTAGCTATAGCTCAGTGGTGGAGGGCTTACAAAGAAAAGAGAAAGGGCTGGAGGGATGGCTCAGTGCTTAAGAGCAGTTGTTCTCACTGAGGACATTGGTTCAGTTCCCAGCACCCTCAGCTAACCACCATCTGTAACTCCAGCTCCAGGGGACCTGACACCCATCCTCTTCCAACTAGGAACACATTCCAAGCACAGATATACACAGGAGCAAAACACTCAAACATATAAAATAAAATGAATAAATCTAATAAAACAACAACAAAACTGGGCTAGAGATACTAGCCCAAGGTCAGCCAGCTAACACTTTGCTCTAGCCAAGGTTTGTAGGGAATTTTAGTATTGTTAGGCCCTCATAGCTAGAAGGGACTTCAGTCAGCAGCTGCCACACCCCATTCTGTTCATATCTAGGGAAACTGAGACCTAGGGAAAATAAGCAGCCCCTAGGTGACACAGGCTCTTTACCTCTCAGGCCCGTTCCATACTCTGCTACCAGCATCACCAGCACTGGGCTGGAACAAGCCCCTGCCTGCCAGAGGCTTTGAAATCTCAGGATGAAAGATACCGGGGGAGCAAAACAGCACCCTGGGTAAGAGCACGCCTGACCTTTGCCAGGACTTGCAGGCTGGCATTCACCTGCTCACCTGCTAGGGGAGGATACAAGACACCCAGCCAAGCCACAGCACCCTAACAGGCCTGGGAGCTTAGGGCCCTGTGGGAGGGGTGTTCCCACAGCTGACACTTCCACAGGTAGGAAGGGCTCTGGAATTTTACTCAAGTACCTGCTCGGGAGGGGGTGAGGAGGAGAGTGACTAGGTGGCTGGAGGTGGCAACAGATTCCTTCCAACAGATTCCTAAGGAAGTTCTGTCTCTGAGTGTGTGTGTGTGTGTGTGTGTGTGTGTGTGTGTGTGTGTGTTGGGCTACCTTCTTCCAGCTCCCCACCCCCACTCCCCAGGTGAGCCGGCCATGGAATCTAAGGCATCTGAAGGGGGTTATTAATAGCACTGAAGTGTTAGGAGGACCGGCAAGTAGGTCCTGAGTGGGCACAGCCCTATTTTCCCCAGCTTATATCCACGAAACAAACTCGGCCCTCTCCAGAAGGGGCCACTTCACCTTCCCAGGCTCAGGCTCCACTCTGGGAATTGGCCAATAGGGCAGGGGTGAGTTCTCAGCTCAGGGCTAGGGAAGGTGGGAGATCTGGGTGTGGGGAAAAGAAAAACCCCACTGAAGTAGGGCACACCCCACCCATGCTTGCTAAGAGGAGTGAGAGGAGGTCCTGAATAGAGAGACTGTTACAGAACCCCAGGAGGTTGCCGCCAGCAGGGAAGGGACAGGAAGACTCCGCCCTGCCTTTCCTGAGCCCAGGCCTTGTCCTACAAGGAGCCTTCCAGGACTAGCTGTTCAGAGGTGAGAAATGGTCTAAATCACCCCCTCTGTCCCCAACTCCAGGCCTGGCCCAGTGACTGGGCAGGCCTTCTCTAGCACCTTCTTTGTGCCCTGCTAGAGTCCAGCCCTGGAGGTGGAAGAGAGTAAGGGACACCGGGCCTTGCTCTCAAAGGGTCTCTGCTGTCAAGGGGAGGTGAGGGATACAGCTGAGCACTCAACAGGACATCAGGAAAATGTAGGGACACCACACTCGGCTCAATGGTCAGGGAGACAAATAAATAAGGCCAGAGGAACTGTCTCCTCCTCGTGCTCTCTGATAAAGCCTCCTGGCTGACACCCCTTGTCTCAGTGCCTCTTCATATACCCTGTACTAACCAAGGCTCACTAAGATCTCTCAGCAACCATCAATAGGAAGGCAACAATGGTCAAGCCCTTTCAAAGATAAAAACTGAGGCTCTCCAACGTTAAGAGACTGGTCCAAGGTGGGCAGCCGTGGCCCACGCCTTTAATCCCAGTACTAACGAGGGCCAGGAAGGTGGATCTCTGTGAGTTCCAGGCCAGCCTGGTCTACAGAGCTGGCTCTGGGCAAAAACGCTGAAACTGCATTCAAGACTGCCTGGCCTGACTTGCCTGTGTGGTCAGCCCAAGCTGAGTTTTGGGACAGCCTGAGATTCTCAACCCATTTCCCTCTCCACAGTGAACCAACCCAGGATCCTGGGCTCCTCCACAGATTTGGGAGGAACTCCCTCTTGAGAAGTGTCCACCATGCCATGACAGGCTGCGAACAAGGCTGGCTGAAGGTACTGGGAGGCTGGACACAGGCCCTGAGGGAGCCGGCTCTGGCCATGAACAACCAGCCCCCCGAAGTTGTAGTGCCAGCACTCTGCTGGTTTGGAGCCTCAGGCCAGGGACCCGCCCCCTCAAGGGCACCTCATCTCTCCTTAGCTCCACTCTCCACGCTCGGTCCCAGGCTCTCCAAGGGCCCATCCTGCTGTAAGCTTCAGCCACGTGTACCGGGGCTGAGGCCAGGGCGAGGTGGGACAAGGCAGCTGAGGGGGGAAGTCAGGAAGCTCTGACTGTGGGCCAGAGTCCGGAGTAGAGATTAGGCTTGGAACGTTGTTGGGAAGAATGGGGGTGCGACCCCTCCGCCACGCGATCTAGGGTATTAGATGCAGGGTTCTGGCCAGGCTGGGTTCCAAGGGGAGTAACTTCCAGTAGAGAAATGGGGTCCCGAGGCTCCTCAAAGGGGGAAGGGAGCACACAGAAGGGCCTGGAAGGGCCGTCCAGACCAAAAGGGAATAAGTTCGGAGGAAGAGTGAGGGTCTGGCCGGCTCCCGCCCCACCCCGGGCCGGGCATTGACTCTCGGGGACCCCCACCCCTCCCCGCAAGGACGGAGGCGTGGCCCAGGGTGCCTGGCGTAGTACCAGGCCGGCGGGGCTCTGAGCGGTCCTCACCTGCGATGTGCTGGCGCCGCGCGTCATCCAGGTGTGTGGACAGCACGTCTCCCATGGCGAGGAGAAGCCGGGGCCGGATCCGCCCGCCGCTACTCAGACGGACGCCGCTGGCGCCATGGAGTCCGCAGGCCCCACTCCCACCGCCCCGCAGCCTCGCTGCCGCCTGGGCTCCGCTTGGCTCCTACCGCGATCCCCGCCGCGTCCCTCCCGCCAGCAGCAAGAGCCTCTCCAGCCGGCGCCCAGGCCCCTGTGCCCGCCCCGCCCCACCCCGCCCTGCCAGGCCAGGCCACGCCCCCGTCAGAGCCACGCCCTCCTCTCCAGTCCTGGGCGGGCGGGGACCTCCAGACAGCGGGTAGACTTAGACAAAGAGAAGATCCCTGGAAGGGAGACCCGGGGTAGATTCGCCGGCTGTGCGCCCAATTCAGATAGCAGTGAAGAAAAGGCTGATGAGGGCATCGCAGAAAACTGGGTGCCCTGGGGACTGCGGCCTGAGCGTCTCCCACTCCCCTCCTCACGCCGAGGAGAACGTAGGGACTGCAAGGGGACGCCTGGACGGACGTGCGGGAAATCAGCATTCCTCCAGCCCCTTTCCTTTTGACCCCTACCCCCAATCTCGCCCGCAGCTGCCCGAACTGGGGACGTCCCCTGGCCTTGATCGGACCTGTTCCAGAAGGTGTGCCAGCCCATCTTGCACAATAGATGGGGGCAGATGGCGAGGGGAAATGGAGTAGAATAGAGTGGAGGACCGAGGGACATAGGAGGGGAAGGAACGGGATGTGGGGGGAAGTGAGGGGAACATGATTGGAGTTCAAAGATATCAGGGCCCAGCGCCTGGGGGTCATTCTTCAGGCCCGGCCTGTGGGCATTTCATTCGGCGGGCGGCTTGGCTTGCTAGACAGAACAAAGGAGGAACGGCTCTTTACAACTTGCAAAAGACTATCTGAAGGGACCTCGGACTTTGAGTACTTAGACAGTTGGGCTGGGCATAGGTGGGTCACTAACACCATGAGAAAACGTTTCAGTTTCTGGACCCTCCCAAACTGGTAGAGGAGGCTTACTACCTTCAGGTATATCGTGTGTGTGTGTGTGTGTGTGTGTGTGTGTGTGTCCAGGGCTGGCTAGCTGCTGCTTGCTTGCACCTCTTGGCTCAATACTTCTGTGCCTTCACCCCGTTATTAGCTGCTCTCCCTGACACCTGGCAGCCAGTGAGGGTCATAACAGTTACCTGTAACTAAGCACCTGTCTCTCAAGCCTGTCACCACCACAGGAGCAAGGTTGGGAAACAACTGAGGTGATGCAGGCCCTCAGTCATGCTTTCAAGTCACTCACGGGTCAGTCATTCAGCCACTGTGATAAACACTCATTTGCTAAGCCTGCTGCAAGGTGCTTTGTGTGAGGCTGAGTGTGGTGGTGTGTGTCTCATGCTTAGCCTTAGGGAGAAGGGGAGGAAGACAGGTCAAGAATTTAAGGCCATGGGGCCCGGTGAGATGGCCCAGAGGGAAGAGCACTCACTGCTCTTGCAGAGGACTCAGGTTCAGTTCCCAGAACCCACATTAGGCAGCTCACAACTGCCTGTAACTACAGTTCCAGGGGATCTGACTACCTCTCTGGCCTCCACAGGCTCCTATACTCACCTGCAGCAAATAAATTCACCCAGGAAAACACACATATACATAAATAAATAAGATAAATCCTAAGACCTTGAGTCTAAGCAAGCTGCAAAGCAAGTTTGAGGCCAGTCTAAGATACATAGGAAGACCCTCTTTCAAAATACCAATGGCTAATCTGGGCAGTGGTGGCACACACATTTAGTTCCAGCATTCAGGAGGCAGAAGCAGGTGGATCTCTGAGTTGGAGGCCAGCCTGGTCTATGGAGAGAGAGTTCCAGGACATCCAGGGCTACACAGAGAAACCCTGTCTAGAAAATACACACACACACACACACACACACACACACACACAAGAGCTGAAGTAGTAATTCAGTGTTACAATGTTTATCTAACATGAGCCAGGTGGCCCTGAGTTTCTGTGGTAGTTTACACACACACACACACACACATATACACACACACAATATGTACACATTTGTGTGCATGGCACACATACACATGCACACACATGTATTATGGATGAAAAGATAAGAAAGTCCAAGCTACCTACTCTCTGTGACCCTGGACAAGAGGCATTCCTCACTGAGCCTGTTTTCTCACCTGTCAAGTAAGAATAATGACACCTCATGGGGAGGGTCAAGAGAAGTCACCTCTCAACAGACAAAAATGCCATTCTGGTTCCTGCCCTCCAGAAGTCTGAGGGAGGGAACAGAACACTGTGTTATAAAGATGGTGATTTAAGCATAGCACCAGGGCTGAAAGTTGAAAAACAAGAATTGTGACAGCAGGTACTCAGGACAGGACATTCAGGCAGTGGGGGCCCACACAGGCAAAGGCCACGCCCCTGAGAAACAGGATGCATTTTCAGATCATCAGGAGGAACTGAAGTCAGGCTGGCAGGGACTTCCAGTTTCCTTGTGCAGAGGTGGCCCAGAGAAGGAAAGCGACTTTTGTCCAAGTCTCTCAGTAGGGCCAAGGCCAGCACAGCTGACACTGGTTGACATGTTCTCTGGGCTGCCGGAGGCAAATAATGATGGTGAGCTCATTTTATGCTTTCCCCAGCCTCAGCTACAGAGCCTAGAAGGGCCTGTAGGGGGGAGGACAGCTAGAGCCAGCTGCTCCCCACCGCTCCCCAGCATCCTCTCAGCAACATGGAGGAAGAGGCCGACCAGTAGTTTGTCCTTAGCCTTCATGGTGCGCCCAGGCCCAGAGCCTGGAGCATGCACACACACTTCCCAGAACGCAGGTCAGATCCCTGGCACAAGGACCTTTTCCTCTTGGCTTAGACCTCTGTCGTCTGTCACTCAACTACCCTGAGCTTCCATGGCTTCAAAAGTGGGAAGGCTCTGTAAACTGTACAGTGCTGTGCATGAGGGTGAATAGTCACCTCTGATCTTGAGGCTGGTCCCTAACAACTTTAGATTGAATGCACACAGAAACACTGAACCGTAAGAAGAAAAAGTCAGCCTGGTGCGGTGGTGCACACCTTTAGTCCCAGCACTCAGGTGGCTGAGGCAGGAGGATCGCTGCGAAGCTGAGGCTAGGCTGATCTACAGAGTGAGTTCCAGGACAGGCAGGGCTACATAACCCTGACTCAGGGAAAAAAGAGAGAAAGAGAGAGAGAGAGAGAGAGAGAGAGAGAGAGAGAGAGGAAGAAAGAAAGAAAGAAAGAAAGAAAGAAAGAAAGAAAGAAAGAAAG